ATATATATGGAAAATGTAATGTAGTTTTGTTTAAATATATGTGTACAACGTAGTTGATATAGGATCTTTTATGGCATGAATATATTAGTATTTAGTATATATTTGGTAAATATTTGTATATGCATTGCTGTATGTATACGTACGTGAAGAACTTCAAATTATCGTACATTAATATATAGTCAGGCAATGTGTGAACATTGATATTTTATCTATTACTGTGTATTTTGGTATATTTATTCGTATTCTTATACAGGATTATACTCCTTGTCGCATCTTTCACTCAGGTATGTATTCTCTGTACCCATCGGCTTTATGTATGCTCAGTTCCTGTCGACTTTATGAGCGGCCCACGCGATCATACTGGCTCAGACGTCAAAGCTAATTTATAACGAGTTCCTCTCTTTATAATCTGTAGAAGGTGGATATTTTAAAGAGGCATACAGAGCTGAAGGTTCAATACCTGCAAGCGTCCTAAGTGCTAGCGGATTTACGGGGTCACGTAGCTACAGCACAGCCATATACTACATGCTAGGGAAGGTGGGTGCTGGCATACGGTTTTCTTGGCTCATTGTATATTCCGAAGGTATCATACCTGAGTCGGTTCACGTCGTTAAGGTCATGCCGCCGCTCTGTCAAATTTAAGTGATGTGGTATCTGTTCTCTCAAATATATCCAGTGAGGTTTTTAGCACACGTACAAGCATATTAAACGCCGGAGGACTTCCGTGAGCATATGAACTACATATTTTAGCTCTGCTTAGTTATTGAGAGGAATAGATTGTTGTTGTTGCGCGATCCCATTTCGCTTAGCATCTTTAAGTGCGTCTACTACGTTCTGGTGCTTCAGCAGCAGTATAGCTGGAACCTGCCGCCAGAGTTTAGAGATTGCACACTTAAACAAATCAAATATTAGGGCTCCTATTCCAGTTTCCACAAGATCAAGTCTGATGAGTTATGGCACCACTACCACGGATGTGCTACCTCTATCTACTACATCCAGGACGATGCCGCAAATGCTAGTTCAAACATCAGTTCGGGTAAGCATAGGCTCAATTTTGAATTCTAACCATCAGTATGTCCTTCTGGTTTGAAGTTGTATTATGGCAATGTCGCTCTGCTGTCGTGACAGTGTGATTCCTATTCTCGGTCTTCCATCCCAGTGGTCTCCTATCACTACCTCTAAGAGTCACAATAACTGTCGGCATTTTCATATACTTATCAACCTTTAAATTTTTCTGGATATGGTCTCTGAAGGTGATTGTGACGGACGACTTGCGAAGTTTGATGTAGGATTCGACGTGAAGAATCATGTGTTTCCGCTCGCTACAGTTCCCAAGGGTGTGTGGTTTGCGGCTGAGCCAGATCCAGGTATAACTTTGCTTTTCGAAAGTCATTTCATTTACTCTCTGTCGCATTTATTTATATTTGAGTGTACCCCTCGTGACTTTCGGTGCAGGGCGGCAGCTGCATATACGATACTTCGCTCCACTTTGCCTCCATCACCCCGGCAGCTTCGATATCCCCCACTATGTTGAATGTGTTGCAATATACATGTATCACAATTGACTCAATGCATACCCCCTTTATTTCCATCTTCCAATCAGACTGCGAGGCCTACTCTCTGATGGGGGCAACAGTGGCGCCCGGTTTTAATTACACAGATTGGAGCATAGCTACCAAACCACAGCTTATCGAGGCACTAGGGGGTGAAGGAAATGTATGCGACGAGTATATGAAAGTTGTAGATAGACTGGTTGCTAAAGATTTGGAAGAAACTGATCGCTAAGCATCGAGCCAAAGTGGTCATCTACTGCTATAATGGCCCAATTCTAGATACCTTGTTTCTGCCAACTGCTGAAGAGGTCAGAGCATCAACACACGAGAATGCATACGTTATGTTGTATAGCAATTGACGACTTTTGGTCGTTGCCAGCCTACAACATTGGCTCAAATATCAGCACCTGCTGTCGATTAGAGGCTACGCAGATCTCCCACAGCTATTTGCTAGTGTTGTATATGGGACAAGGTGCTTGATCGAGCTATATCTAGGTTTATTGTGTAGTATCCGAGGTGAAGCCACCTATTCTCTATAGTTGATGCCTGCTAGACGCGATATAGACTCTCCCATATTATACCAGAACGGGTGGAAATGGAGAACTCTTTCAACCCAATTAAAATACAATATGAGTTCAATTCAATTCAATTGTACGGTATACAATTCAATACAATTTAAAATGATTGAATGTGATACAATTCAATATGACTCAATTTAAAATACAATTCAATACAATACACAATGCAATTCAATGCAATGTAATGCAAATCAATTCAATTCAATTCAATTCAATATATTATAACACAAATCGTTCAATTCAACACAATATAAAATCGTTCAATTCAATTTAGTTCAATTGATTTTAAATCATTCTATTTTATTTCAACTCGGTCCAATTTAATCAACCTCAGACAATTCATTTCCATTCAGCACACTTCAATTCAATCAATGCAGTGAATCCGAATGCAATCCAATTCTATTCAGATTCATTCCACCTATTTTACCCTATCCCTTCAGTATATTATCAAACCATATGATTCGACTTGTCAATTCATCCGTTTCAACTTGTTCAGGATATAATCAATCCAAGGTCAATTGGATCTAAATTATGCTAATACAGTTCAAAATAACACAATCCAATACAATTCAATCACATTCAATTCGACTTAATTCAATTCAATTTAATCCAATTTAATTCAATTCTAGTCCGTCAAATGCGATTCTTTTCTAAATATCAATTCGATTTATTTCAATGTGGTCCAGTTCGATCCCAAGTGATGCAATTGTATTCGATTTTATTCAACTCTTCATTTCTTAATTTGGTTCAATCCCATATAGTACAACACACTCAATTGAGCGAACCTAAACGAAATAATACTTTGTTTGATTCGACTTCACTTTTGGTTTTATAATCTTATCTTATCACAGAAATCATACTCAATCTACTGAATTTTAATATTATTTAATTCAGTTGAATCCATGCCACACTAATAAAAAAATCGTGTGTTCAGTTCAAGTCAACGAAATAAACCAAGTCACTTCAAGCCAGACGTAGTTAATACCAAACCACACTGGCTTACTTTGTATTATCGTTGCGGCTTGTAGTTAACAGGCATACCCACAGACTTAAGTCTGTAAAAGTAGAAAATGGACTTGCGTTTAGTTTTTATCGTTTTAAAATATCTAGTGTCGTTGCGAGAAGGTTGTTTTGATCAAGTTAGGACAGTTGTATCAGCATATCTGTTACAATGCAAACACAACACACTACCGCAGTTAAAATCTAACCTATTAGTGATACATGTACTCTCGTTTATTGGACAGGAAACACTATCAGTGTGCTATTTTACTAAATTCATGTCGTACATCTTTCAAATTTGCGATTCATATCGATGGTGACATCGATAGCGTATTGCTAGTCACATTTTCGACTTTGATACGCTCGTAACTATATACGATCAATCTAAAGCGGCTGATAAAGTGGGACTCATTAGAACTATTCAGAACGCAGTATTGCCTCTGCAATATGTATTGGCCTTGTGTTGCACATTGACGAGACGGATTGTACAGTCACGCATGTTTTCGTTCTCCAGCATTTTATTGAAACATCTGAAAAGTAACCAACGTCGATGGAAAATGCTACTAAATGACATGATTGCCGCGTACCATGATATACACGACAAATCAATGCAAATGATGATCTCTATTCTTTCTGAATATGCTATGGCGGATCTGTCCATTACGAAGTACTTTGCAACTCACTATTCCGGTCACGCGAAATACTCTCAGGCTAATCTCGAGCAACCTTTGTAGAATAGTTTGATATGATCCCACACTACGCTCGAGCAAGCTGAAGTCCAAATTGCTTATAAGAATCGATCGCAACTTGTTCGGGTTTCAAGCGCTGCATAATCTCATCACTAAAAGTATGAAATTTCAACGGACCAAAAACCCGTGTATTGCCGCTGATAGAAAAGCTGCTCGATGCCTTCTAGCAAAAGGTCTAATGTTCATCCAGGTCGCTAATTCATCCAAAATTTAAATGTGTCAAAAGAACACGACCTAATCCCTGGCAAACTTACGCGGGTCAAATTTGTTTTTGTTAGTAGACTTTGATAAATTGTTAATAATTTTACAATGCCGTTTATAGGGGCTGTTCCTACTTTAGACTACAAATGGTCTTTTTAATGATCACGCCCGATTAAATTTGCGCACTCTGATCTGGTTCCGGACTACACCCAGGTCCATTGCACATATCTATCGATATAGCTAGCTACCTGTTGCGTGGTTCGCTAAGAACGCAAAGTCCGTGGTACTTTTAATCACGTGGGTGTAGAGTTGCATACACACTGGTTTGTGTGAGCTATATCTTTCGTCTATATGAAGGTGGTTAGGTGGCTTTCCTTGCATTTGGCGATTGCTGCAAAATGTAAATTTATAGAAATGTATTCGATTTCCCTGTTTCAATCTCGTGCCCACCTTAGTCAACGAGACGCTATGCAATTCCATAAATAGCCATTGATTGAAATAGTCAAACCATTCATCTCTACGCCTACAAAAGCACCTATATATCCAGTGCAATCTGATTTCTATTTACAACACGTATGATGCGGGTTGCTGAGAAACAACTATCATGATTCTAAACACTCACTGCATATGAAGGTAAATTAGTATAAGGTAATAATTGGAAGTGCCGGTTTATATTAATCGAGTTGAAGTATAACACCCTAGTACTTTGTATGGGCACACGTATTGTATTAGGTCGAAATATTTCTTGCCGATAGAACGAATATTGTGCGATGTAACGAAGTCTTTCACCATGGGCTTGTTAGTGGCTGAAGAGAACAGAGCGAGTAAAAGACTGTCGATGACTTTCTGCCTTTGTACAACCCCCATTGTGACTTTTCGAGACGACATTAAGAAGCACATGAGTATGAGTGTTTCGATCACATCGGTACAGAACTTGCTACCAATATCAAAGTAAAACGTAGTACTCAGGGAAAGCCGAAGTCATTAAAGGCGTGATATAATGAAACAGCAATTGTTTGCTGGCGTTTACTCGGTATTGCAAAAAGCAAATTCTAGCCCTAAGCCACACATGGGAAATGACTAATATATTGTGTGCTTGGATCGCGAGAGTTTAACCAAATTGACTATGACTCGGCACATTGATAGTGCTTTTGTCACACCTTTTAGAGGTGCCCAGCCGTAACGCTTGATCCAGTTCTTTTCACCATCTTTGCAGCGTCGGTATACTTCACGTATGCTTTCTTTCAACGCCGGGTGATCAAGCCCTGTACAAATAGCAATCTTATAGGTATGCTCGTAAAATCGATAAGTTAAGGTGTGAACGATCTTTACTGTACTTTATTAGCTCTTCTATTTCAGTCATGTTTTGAGTAACACTGGCTGAATGAACCATTTCCCCGGTAGTTAAGGCAATTCAATACTAAAAGAAGTAATTTCCTGAGAGACGTAGTTACATTGAATTGCTTAAATAATTTCGATGGTTATTTCGTTACTCTTGACTGTTCTTAAGCAGCGCTTTAAGTAGTTGAGTGCGAGCTTAAGGTTTGCTTAGAGATTTTGAATCTTAGATTCACGGTCTTTGCTAGTTCCATGTTTACGATCTATTGCTGTTTAAATCGGCATATCCTCGACTGCATTCTTGATGGGTGCATCTGTTTATGTGCGAGTCTGGAGGTTTAGATAAAACTGTTCAGACTTTTCTAGGATATCCGAGGATTTGGTTGAGGGTTTCCATTTAGTGGTTTGGTGTGTTTCTATGACGTCTTCTTAACAAGATAGGATCCCTTATACAAGAACGTGTCGGTTCCACGGTCGACATAAATAGGTTCGTCTTGTATCATACTATTAGGTTCTCGTATCCACGGCTCGGAGTCACGTAAGAACAACATAGCGTTACGGCATATTTAGTAGTACGGTCACAGTTTAACAAATGGGATACTAGTTGCCGTGGCGGGTTTGCCCACGCAGTATGTTTAGATAGGTCAAGCTGAAACGCATCATCTTTAGGGTGTGTCAATAACCTGTGTTCGGTAATTTTCAGTTAATCAGTATCTAATAGCTCTTTGACTGTTTTCTGACAGTCTGTGACAGACAAGTGGAGACAGCATGATAGGACGGTGGATCTGAATATTAAAGGTAAACTTGGCAATTATATCATGCCAGCGGCTCACCGACTGTGATCAGGCTTCATGCCTTTCAAATAAGTTTATTACTTTTGATCACATGCGACAGTAAAGTAGCCTCTGCATATGTAATAGCAAGTTGCAATGGCAAGTAGTTCTTGTTCAACGGTTGGGTAGTTCCGTTGACTTTTGTGTAACTCTTGCTAAAGAACTGTGTTTAGCGTGGCTAACCAATTGTAGTTACATAGTCCGCCCCCCAACCGTTTCATCTGAAGCATCGGTTGCTACTTGGAACAGAAAGCCGTTTACTGGATATTGTATAATCGGTGCATCCAATACTTTACTTTTGATCACATCGAATGCTTCGTCGAATTATAGCTTCCTCAACGGTCCTTTGCCGTAAACGACTAAAAGCTTTCGACAGTGGGAAAGGTACTGAATACGCAAAGGAATGAACAACCCCATACACAGAGTTTACATCTCTTCCCGAAATCTGTTTTGATAAGTCCAACAATAACTGTTTCGTGCCAGGATATATTTCTACCCCTGCTGCAGATACTTTGTACCCAAGCAAGTGAATAA